AAAAAAGGGCACAGCCATTGCCTGAAGGTTTTTTCCCCCCCCTTTCGGGTCTTGGGTCGAGCGCTCTCTCGGACCCTTTCTGTCACCTGTGGAAGGGCAAATCGCAGGCTCAGCTGCGTACGTTGATCGACCAAATGGGCCCCTTTGTTGGAGTGGGCCACCCACACGGAACAGAACGAACGTCTACGAATGTCTACCTATATACAACGGTGTAAAACCTCAGTTGAGGCCGTGGCTCAACCAGTAATGGATAGGGTCGAATGGCATAGGCGAAGTGGATCGGGGTCGATGCTTCAACGCCTCCGCTGCGCTCCGCTCCCCGCCGCACAGGTCGGTCGCCGGGTCACTGCTCGGCGGGCACGCAGGAAGCGTTCGCCGCGAGGTCCATCTTCTCCCCGGCCTTTTTGGAGCGGTCAGACGCTCGAGGCAGAAGACCATGGGTTCACATGCATGTGATATATATATATATATATATTCTGCTGGCATTTCTGTGTCAACATTGACCTGTCATGGAGATTGACGGGCAGAGGACCATCTGGCATTGGTCGACGGATAGGTTACAACATGTTCACCGCCGCAAGCCATCACCTATTGATCGGCTTTAGTTTTCTTGTCTGCGGTGCCATGCCATTTCGTGCTCTCAAAGTGCGGGTCTAGAGTCTAGAGTCTATCTTGTTCAAAGGACTGGTGATGGCAAAGTTGAGTAAAGCTTAAAAGTTCAACCAACTGCACGACTGGCCCAACTGAGACCAGCTCTGAAGCGACATCCCCGCCACGCTGTCTCTTTCAGGCAAAGAATGACAAATTGATAAGGGCGACCCAAGTGTTGGAAACAGACCCGAAAAGTGATCAGCGGAATCCTTTCAGGCTACCAAGCCATGCACCGCTGCAAGACTCTGCAAGGCAAAGGGGCCGGACAAAATTCCAAGAAAAAGAGTTGTTTCTGAGGCTTCTGCATGCGGTGCCATGTCTTCGGTCGGACCTTGTGGCTCCCCTTGGAGTGCCTCGCCTTCTTGAAGCAGCGGAGAAGCGCTCGCCCGGGGCCCTCCACCTCCTCCTTTGTGAGTGGTTTCCTCGGAGCCCGTTTCGTGCGGGCACGTGTCAACAATCCTGGCAAGTGTGTGTGTGTGTGTGTCCACACCTGTGCCTACTACTAGGGCCCCTGGCTCTGCTACTAGGGGATTCTGGTATCGCTACTAACTTGCAGTTTCTTCACGCGAAGAAAAAGAGGCAGGGGGGTGCAGAGCACAGTGGAGACTGCACCCAATGAAGCTATCCACTTGTGCTGGAAGCAGAGCCTGATCAGCTCTGTGCACCTGCAGCGATTTAATCGGTTCAACTGTTGAGAAGCTGTCTCATTCTGTGATTTGCAGTAAGCGGCTAATGCACTACAACAATTTGTTAAACATCTTCAATTTTCCGGACTTCCTCGCCTTTCGGTTTGCACTTTTCTTCCAGTCAAGGGGAACTTCGTACTGATAATAGCTCTTGCGAGCAACTCTCAAAGCGTGTTTCGCCACAGGGTCCCACTGAGGGCTGTGGTGTGATCCCCGTCAAGGGGCGCGGTATATGCACAGACCCACTTTATGTGGGGGATCCCTCCTGAGCATCCGTCTTGCATTTCGGAACTTCATTCGATCTTCTCTGATTGGCTGTGACGCACGATACCATTGATTCCATGCCGCAGGGCCTACTGTGATCAAAAAACCCTGACTTCCCATGGAAACTTGCGTCTAAGTATTCACAGGCGGGTGTACGCACAGTGTTTTTGTTACATGTTTTTCATGCTCTTCGGTTCTTTCTCTCCTTTTGTTGCTTTTCGTTTCTTGAGGCCTTTCTTTAGGTTCCAGGTGTCTTTCAGAGAAGGGTGTGCCGGCCCAAATCGGCTACACTTGAAAGCCAATGATGGCAAAGCCAATGATGGCAAGGCCTACAGGCCACCCTCCCTACCCCTGGGCCTCGGTTGCTATCCCACCCTCTATTCGGGCAACACACTTGTGTGGTGCCTTTCCTTCCGTTTCTCCTACTCTATTGCTAGCGACCCGGGCGGTTCAAGACCAAAGGTCCCGCTCGCGTTCTACTTTCATGTAACTAAGTGGGCCTCGTAACTACACCTATCTTTCCTTCTTGCCCTCTTAGTCTGCTTTTGTTTTGTTTGCGTTTTCTCTGTCCTTCTAAGGCTTTTTAGGTCGCTAGTAGTTTTCAACAAAAAGCGCCAATATTGGCGCTTTGTGCACAAAGTTTTGCGACCAGCGGACACCACTGACGCTACTAGGGGCTTCTGGCCTCGCTACTAGGCGCTAGGACGGTACTACCAGGTTGTAAGGACGCTACTAGCGACTCCTGGCCACGCTACTAAACTGCAAGCAAGGGTCAGCGCGCCGAGTACGGCTTCGTGTGTGTGTCCACACCTGTGCCGAAGGTTTTGAGTCGTACAGGATGCTACTACGGCCCCTGGTTCTGCTACTAGGGGATTCTGGTATCGCTACTAACTTGCAGTTTCTTCACGCGAAGAAAAAGAGGCAGGGGGGTGCAGAGCACAGTGGAGACTGCACCCAATGAAGCTATCCACTTGTGCTGGAAGCAGAGCCTGATCAGCTCTGTGTACCTGCAGCGATTTAATCGGTTCAACTGTTGACAAGCTGTCTCATTCTGTGATTTGCAGTAAGCGGCTAATGCACTACAACAATTTGCTAAACATCTTCAATTTTCCGGACTTCCTCGCCTTTCGGTTTGCACTTTTCTTCCAGTCAAGGGGAACTTCGTACTGATAATAGCTCTTGTGAGCAACTCTCAAAGTGTGTGTTTGTTGTTTCCTACTACCCTGCTAACGCAGCTGACAACGCGCACCTACAAACAAGTTCAGGATGGTTCAGGTGCATTGTACAAGGCATATGTATATGTTATATGTACTGCATATGTGCATATGTGTGTGTGCGTATGTGTATATATATATATATATGTATAGAAAAAACATGCATCTGGATTTGGTGTCAGGGATTAAAGTATGTTCACCCTCTGCCAGCATTTTTATCTATTCTTGCACATATCTTGACCCCCGCACATGCATGATCATGCATGTATACTATGCTATTCCGGTCCCTTGGTTTAGCAAGGGTATGTTCACATGCCGAAACCGCTGAGAAAAACAAAACGCAAGAGATTCGAGATTTCAATGGTCAAGGATCTTGTTCTTATCCTTCTTCTTCATGATCTTGTTCAGCTTCTTCGTCACATTCTGCATCGCTTCGAGCCACGGCTGTGCTTGCAGCTCCGCGTGCTGCAGGTTCTCCCGAGCCTTCGCCCGTCGCAGCTGGAGCTGCTCCAGATGCTCCTGTTTGAGGACCTGCCAAAATCTTTGGCTGCACGCTTTAGACTTTAGATGGACATTTGCTCCAAAATCTCCAACAAAAAACGTGTCTGGAGGGAGGCGGTAGAAGCATTTATATAATTGGTGTGTTTGTTGCGCTTGTGTGTGCGGGCCGTTTTGCATTGCACATCTTCATACATCTTCAACTTCCCGGTTTCCAAAGACATCACTCCTGGCGCGGAAGCCGCTTCCCCGCCTCGCCCTGACGCTCGAGCGCCAGCAGCGCAGCCACGCGGCGCGCCACCGCGCGCAGCTCCGCGCTGCAGGCGCCCGTCGCCGTTTTCGCCGCGGGTCGCCCAGCGCTCCGCTCGTCGGAGCCGTCGCAGCAGTCGGCGATGCCGTCGTCGACCTTCGAAGGACAGCGGGTTGGAGCGGTGTCAGGTGGGGGTCCCAGAATGCAACACAGAAACTCGCCACTGGGTCAGGTGCTGCGAAGCTGGCTCAATCCATTCAACCTGGTCTTCTTGGTGTCCTGCACGCGTTCTCAAGTGTCAGATCTGCGTCATCAAACACGGGGTTTCTGCGCCACGACACCATCGAGCTATACACCGTGCGTGGGATGCTCCCCGCGTTGCTGCACCGGAAGCGCGGCGCAGCTGCGGGCGCCGCGCGATGCCCGGCGCTGACGCCCGCGCAGGCGGCGGTGAGGGGCTCGTCCGAGCCGTCGGCACAGTCACAGTAGTCGTCCTGGAGACGGTGAGATGGTGGAGGAGGAGGTGTGTTGAGCCCTTTTGAGCTGAGGAAAAAGCCATAGTTGGGAGAGTTGATCCTCGAAAGAAGGGGTCACTCAGGTTCTAGGTATGATATAGATACATTATATGTATAATTATGAATATATATATATACTGCAAATAGTTTTAGAGCGGGGAATTGTCAATATAGAGGTGATGTATTCTAGGAGCCTAGCCCATGCCAAGAAGTTGCATTAAAAAAGCTGCCAAGAGACAAGCTCCAACTCCATCTGTCTGGGTCCAGGGTCCAGATCGCTCACTTTAATTGATACAGTATCATTTCGAGCCTTCCCACTGCGAAGGAGCCTCCAACTGGGCAGTTAGTCGCACCTCTTCTTGGAGAATCGACCATCCACGCTCCCTGTCATTCGGACCGTCACCCCCGGGTCATTGATGACGGATGCCGGCAAGTCGGCCAAGTCCACCTCCTTGCCCTCCAGCAGGCACGCCATGGCGGGGCGATGCAGGGCAGTGGCGGCGTCTGAACTGCTTCGTGTGGGGTCACCAGTGGTTCACTTGGGAGGTGTCAGCACGGTGGTTCAGGGGGGGGGGGTCTCCCACCGGGCTTCCGTTGAGGAAGAGACGTTTTTATCTATCTTCTATAGCTGGAATCACCGGAAGCGGCCCTTCAAACGTCACACAAAGATTGACTGTACCTATTGTCAACCACAGGTGCCACATCCTTCTCCTCTATAGCTGGACATCTCCAACCGTCGTGCTGCAGCCGTCAATCAGGGGTCGATCGGCCGGAGACGGCAGGTCGGGGCCCACCGAATGAACTGGCTGAATCAAGACATGTAGGAATGGAAGAGACAACCGAATGTAGAGTTCCACCGAATGGAATGAATGGAACTCTGTTTTTGGTTGATTGAATTTGAAAGGCACATCGTTTTCAATTATTTTCACAACACGCCGCCGCTGTTTCTGCATCAGCATGGGTGAAACGCATCACACGAACCCTTTCCTGGCCCATGTGCCATGCAAAGGTCAAATTCTCTGGGTCGTTTCGCCCACCGAGTGCCTTTCACTCTGACAAATCCACCGAACTGCGTCCCGAACTCGGACCCAAGCCGCTATACCACCCACTGCTGAGTCCGCCCGGGCAGTGCGGTCCGTTCGGTCGGGGTTCCTGAGACCCGGCGCTCAGAGCGTGGAACGGCGAATAATCCGCATGAACTCTTCCTCGCTCACCTCCCCATCATCATCCTGACGCGGAGAGGCGTTCAGAACCCCATGAGTCGGCCAAGCACTGGAACAACATCTCACCTGCACACTTTCAGAGGGGAGAAGGTGAAAGGACATTCAACCACCAAACAATCTAATGGGTGCGGTGGGGGGGGCAGGGTGGCAACAGGCAATCTACAACACCCCAACAATCTACTGGGTGGGGGGGTGGGGGAGAAGGTGAAAGTATGCGAAACAACACGTACTTATGCAGCACTGGAAATGTTAGGAACACCCCCATTGAAATGTGTCACTCAAAACGCACCGTTGCTTCACCAAATAAACAGTACTCAAATGTACTCAAGCATAGTCCACTTCCAGTGCACAGGCGAGTATTGTTGCTTAGTGCACAAGCGAATATTTTTGCTCGGTGCACCAGCGAGTGCTCGCCCAACGTCGCGAATCCGTCCCACCCGTCGCAAAAAGTCGTCCCGTCCACCACGCATTTCTCCACTAGTACGGCCAGGAGGAGCCCCTAGTAGCGAACTTCTCCACCACGCCTTGTCTGCCTCACGGATCATTTCCTGGAGCTCTTCATCCGACATGTTCTCCCCGAGCTCCCGCGCCACCGCCTGCGCGCAAAATAACGCCGCGGCTCACTGGACGGTTTGGAATAAACACATAACAAATGAAACGTTTATTTGTGCGTATCTATACGCAAATACATGTGTGTTTGTGTGTGCACCTGCGCTATGAATATACCAAAATTGTGCATTACATAATCTATCCCATATTATACATTGCTATATTACACAGTACATATAAGATCCGTGTGTAGAGCTGCAAAATGCCATAATGGTGATAGAACGCCCATCTTGTTCCATAAAAACCTGCAAAGTACAACGACACGCACCAAAAAAATGCATGTGACGGCGGGCGGTAGCATCTTCAGCCAAAAGCCGCTCTTCGCCCCTAAGGGCAACGGAACACCCTTCCAACCCCTGGCTTAGCAATGAACAGCTTGACTGTCTTCTCGTCACTGCCTTCACCCAAAAAACAAATCTAGGTCTAGATCTGCAAAATCCACAAAATATGATGGGTTTGTAGTTTACGTTGTAAATCTTCGAAGTCAAGCGTTTTGCCGACTTTCCTCCTTTCCGTCATGATCCTCGTCCATTAGCTTTTTCTCAAGCTTGCCTGCCACAAGCGCCCCCCATACGCGGGTCCGGAGCCTTCAAGTCCTCGAAGGAGATCTTTCCGGTCGGCCCCTGAGAACCCCCACATCCGAGCGGACCAACGCCGAGCATCTTCTCACACCCACAGTGCGCGTCTGGCGAAATGCCAGACGATAAGACGAAAGAAGCGGAGAGAGAGAGAAGGCGACCGCCTTCTAAGACACGGTCGCGACCGAGAACGGTTTTTTCACGTGTTCGCCTTGAAGAGCTGGAAGGCCTTGACGATCTGCTCCTTCCCAAAGGGACGATGGCCCGTCCCCCCGACACCCGCGGGTGTGCGAAGGCAGCGAGGCAGACGGGGGAAGAAGACGTAAGGGACTTCACTTCGAGTCGAGGAGCGAAAAGTGAAAAAGAGGGGAGGGGGTGACATGCGGGGTGATCAAAAACCACTGCTGAAGCACTTCCATGAGAGGTGCACAGGTCTTTCACAAAGGGAAGACCCCGGATAGGGGAAGGAAGCATGCAGATTGGATGGAATCAGGTTGTGGTTCATGTGACTTGAGCCAGATTGAGGCCGCCTGAGGCCTAAAGAGATCGAAGAAAGACATCTTCCCAGCATAGACCCCGAGATCTGAACCACCCGCCCTGCCCCTTTATGGCACAGATTTTTTAGGGCCAAGAACCGCACAAGAAGACCTGGTCAGAAGTCGCAAGTCAACTTCGCCACTGGTTTCCGTTGCGGACCTCCCTGGATTCAACTCTCCAAACAAAGAAATCAGAGATCGGTGAATAGCTACACTTAACAGCTGCTTGTCCCCCCAAACATACAATGCCACTGCATCCGGTCTCCTTCGAGTCCTTTTCGCTCATCTTCGCCTCAGCGCCATCGGGCCCCCCTTGTTTCGCTGGCTGACATGGGGGGGGGGGGAACCTGAGGCGGACCCTTTTCGGGGCAACGACCTGAGTCGGAGCCTTTGTCCCGTCCAAAAGTCTCCGCCGACAAGTAGAACGAAAAAGCCCATCCACCAGAACCGACCAAGCGCGCCAGACGGTTTTCCGCTGCAGAGACCCAACCCCACGGCCCCCACGGACTGACCGCTCCGATCCGTTGGGACGGCGCGCCGTCATGATCTCCAAGAACTCGTTGAAGTCTAACATGCCCTGGCCATGCGAACTGCCGCTCTTGTCCAAGTCAGACCTCAGGCGCATCCGCGCGTCGGACGCAAGGACAGCGCGCCTGGCTCCTCTGGAGTCAGCATCCCAAGCGAAACCCACCAACAGAACTAACCGAGCATGTCCATGTTCCGTTTCCATGTGTGTGCGGTGCCTGGTGCAGGCTCAGCAGATAGTTGGTTTGCACCCGTCTGGCCACCGAACCCAACAGCGCAGGCCATCGCCGTCACCTTTCGCCCATCTCTTGGACCATTCGATCCGGTCCTCGCCATCCCCTTCCGAAAACCAAAATAAGGACGCAAACGAGTTGGGCAACCCTGGTGTTGCCAAAGGAGTGGACTGAAAAAGGTCAAAGACACAGTGCATCAGCCCTTGTTTCGAACCCCCCTGCTGCTTCAAATCAAGGAACACCAGCTTCTTGAGTTCCTCCTTCTTCGGCTCAAAGCCTAAGGCCCTCAACGCCACCTTGAGCTCCTTGGCCTCGCCCGGTGTTTGCCCCAAACAGTGCAGTCGTACAACGAAATGGTTCAAACGCTCCTAGACAGTTTAGAACGGCCATATAGCCTATCCCATATTTACCACTGTAGTGTCCTATAAGGTCTCTCAACCTCTCTTGGCATGCACGCAACCCCTTCATGCAACCCGTGGGAAACAAGTTGCAAACAGGCTCAGGCTGAGCCTCAATGGTGCCCGTGCCGTCTGTGTCGAAGAGGTCGAAAGCCTCCTTGATCTCCGCCTTTTGCTCCTCGGCGACGGCGGGTGGTTCGAGCGGGCACCGGGAGCGATGAAAGAGGTTTCACGAAGCAACCAGTTCTAAGCAATCAGTGGGATGGAAAGACTGAAAGACTTCGAAAGAACCTATTGTGGATGGAAAGACCGAAAGACTTCGACTGATTCACAGTCATTCTCAAGCCCTCTTTCCGATGAAACTTGGGCAAAGGGCACGGCCATTCCTCCCGATCTCCCATTGGAGGCACTTGTTGGACACACAATGGTCAATCCTATGTTGGGAAATCCTAGCCCCGCACTACCACCATCCACCGCCTCTTCTTAAACCCCTCGTCTTGTACCACCTCTAAGACTCAGCCCGGCCCTCCGGCCCTCCAGCCCAGCCCAAGCGTCGTCTTTCAACTCAGTCCGCTGCCTCGCGCGGACCTTCCGCGCTTTCGGTGCCATGGCGCTCACCGCGACAGCTCGCCGCGTTCGCCGGGGGGGCTGGCGGCCAGGCGGAGCGTTTTTGAGCCGAGAGCAGCCACGGGGGCGGTTGAGGGGCGAGGGCGAGGGGTCAGCCCTCATCACCGGAACATACTGGTGGTGCTGGTCAATCTCCCCACAAACTGGTGGTGCTGCAGTCAAGCTATACAAGTCGAGTCCGGGCTGATCTTTGGTCCACGGTGCCCGTCTGTTGCCGGCCTACCAAAGCACCTTGAAAACAGACCTGTCCTGCAGTGCAAAAAAGGCAAACCCGCCGCGCTCCACTTCCACCTTATCATACAGCAAACACCGTTTTACGCCCATGTGCTTGTTTCAATTGAAGGAGAAAAACGAGGACCACCACCAACATACCTGAGTCAAAACACCCTGATGCCACTGATGCCCAACTATACCACTCACCGCTCACCCAACGAGGACGCACCCCAACCCTTTCCTCCCCAACGAGCACGGGCAGCAGCTCCTGCCAGAAGCTCTGCATCCTCATGGCGGCGTCACAAAAAGACAGTGCTGGGGGATGCTGGAGGCGACTTGAAACCAAAGCCCGGCATTCAGTCCTCGTGCAAGAAATCAACTCAGAACTTGCTACAGTACATATGCTGTCTGACTGAAGTAGCAAATCACATGTCTACAGTAGTTATTTCCCTTGTCTGGTCCCAAAATCCTAACCACACTTGCATGCACACTGCTGGGAGGAAAAACAACAGCCATACACCTTATAGCTTGATCTTCCCTATCTTCCTCCATCTGCAGTGGACCCCATCAGCCACGCGTCTCTTTCAGGTCGTTCCGGTAGGCTGCGCCCATGCGCGCCGAGACCTTGCGGCCCTCCATGGCGTTCAGCTGCGCCAGGAGATCCGCGCCGCTGCTGAAGCGCAAGAGCTCAGGCACGAGGAGGTACCTGGGTGGCGAAGGATGGCGAAGGATGGCGAAGGATTGAATGATCATCTCAGGAAGGACTACGTGGAAGGGACTAGGTCTGGGTGATCGCTGTCTTTGTCGGGGGTGAACATGGAATTGAGGTCGGCGGCCGACCTGTGTGTTTAACCCTGGATATGGAGGGAAGAATGGAGTCTTTTGGAGATTGATTGCCAAAATAGGAAAAGCGGGCTATGCTTTACACAGGGGAATCAAAACTGTCATGAGGACCCCTGTGTGAACAAATCGACGCCGAAAAAAGAACTAAGCCATGGGGAAGGGAGCATCAAATCTCACACTGTCTTTGGGCCACACGACAACCAAACAAAAGTTACCCATTTGTCTGCCCACCAGGTTCTATTAGGATCTCATACCCTATCATGTTCAATGATCATCGCAGTTCAGCGCCATCCTCCTCCCCTCTGCTCTCTGCTTCCGTTTCCTCCTCTCCCCTTCGGACCTCCTCCGCCCCGAACCGAGCTGCTCCGAGTACTCCGCCCAGTAGGCACGCGCCTGGATGCCCCGCACGTTGGAGGGCGCCAGGACGGTGTCCTCGAAGGGGTCGAAGGGGTGCACGGCGGCCACGTGCGCGCGGTCGCTCCAGGGGTCGTAGGCGTTGTAGGGATACCTGCCCGGCCGAAGCACAGGAGGCAAACAACGAAACCAGACACCCGACGGATGCGGGGCACCTAACTAGAGCTGGGTCCAAGCTTGAAACCATGTCTTAACATGTCCAAAAGAAACCCGTTCACAGGAACAGCTGTGGCCTTTCCCCCACCAATGCAAGGAGGCCGGACCGCCAGGGGCACGTCTTTGAGATCCTTCCTCAACCCATACACCTGCATCCCTCCGCAGTGTCCGATCGGTCGCATCCTGAGATCGGTCCGACTGAGGGAGGGGGGTCCTTGGCTGATGTAGGGTGTCCTTGGAATGGCTGCCAAAGCTGAAGCTACTCAGAGCACATGCTGATGTCAGTACATACAGAGTAGTGGCCCAGCATATAGAAGGGTGCTCCAATACATGTTGAAAAGACTCGAGGGGGGACATATACTTTTCTATAATTCTTTCGGGCTACAAATTTCCGGCACATTCATTGGCGTGGGTCCTCCAATCATCAAGACCAGGTTGCGGCATGAGCCGCATGTTGGCCACATGCACCAGGTTCCGGAGCAAGGAGAGCTGCGGAACGAGCAAGGGCATTCGCATCTTGAAGAGATGCCTGCAGAAGTTCCGGCTTCTATTCTCGGAGCCAATCGTGGAAGTTGGTTCCACTCGAGAAACCGACTCTACCTGGAGACCACCGCAGAAACCGCAGGTTGTCCACCGCTCGCCTCGTTTTTAGATGTGTTTAGCCCCTTGGAATCCTCCGGGCACTCAACACCTTCCATCTTATGTGGAAGGGAGGGCAACCACCAACTAAAATGATGGAAAGTTGGAAGAGACAGGCTTCCTAATATTATTGCAGGTTGCCTGAGTGTGAATCGTCGGTACTGGGTCGCAAAATAAGCCACACTTCCTCACACCAGCCTACTCCCAAGCTGATAGGGAAAAAAATCCCTCAGGATCTCAATCACTGAATATACCGGATAAGATGTGCTGGACGATTCCAGAAAAACGAGAATTCCCTTTCTTCGTTCATGTGCATGCCAGCCGGAGAGGGGAAAAAACAAGATGGAGCCCACGAACCCGAATGCAAACACGTTCGAAAAGCTACATATGTCCAAATGACACTCTTGTAGGACACTCTTGTGGGACACTCTTCTGGGACACTCTTATGGGACACTCTTGTGGGTCACTCTTGTGGGACAC